CCCCCCCTCGTTAATTCCGTCAATGTGTTATAGATTTTAGGAACAGAAATTAAACGTTGGAAACATTCGACTTTTTAATGCCGAACTCCGGGGCAGGAGATGTGAAGGACGCCCATGAATGCAGCTCTGTGATCACTGTGATCAAGTCCTTGAATGATACTTGTCCGTGTACAGGCAGAGCTCAGACTGGGGGGGAGGGAGAAGCAGCACGAGAAGCCGATCGATTGTACTGCGGCGCGAGAGGGAACGCTGGCAGGAGGAGAGAACAGAGTGACAGAGAGATGAGCTCATCAGTCCGCTGCTCATCTCAGAGTGGGGGAGGGGGGAAGACCCCGGCTGCGGCGGTCTCAGTATCCCTCGAGCTGTAGCTCCCTATATACTGAGCTTTGGGTCACACGAGGACGCTAGTTTATGTCCTCCCGGGACCCTGAGGAGAACTATGGGGGAAAAACCCTTACCCCATAGTTCTCCTTTAATGGCAAAAGAGACGATATCTTCCTTTCCGGTTGAATGTATTGTGATGTAATACCGCTGTATGGCCACCGGATGGAGCTGAGGAGCAGAAGAAATAAGCGTTTCCTATGCGTTTGTTACCTATGCTCATCAGCTCCACCCAGTGGCCATATTGCAGTATTACATCTCAATACATTAAACCTGAAAATATATTAAGGTCCCTTTCACATGGATCCCTTTCCTCCTGATCAAAGCGGTACGGATCGCATGTCACTGCTATCCATTGTCTGTCCAGTTTTTGTCTCTCCATCTTGCGATGGAGGAAAAAAAAAAATGAATATGACTTGCGCCCCATGTGGGTCTATGAGGAATCGGATGCAAACAGACGTGCCCATTTCCATCAGATTACCCCGGATCCAGCCCGAGCAGGTCCAGCAAAACGGAACACTGTTCCATTTGTTTTTTTCTGGACCTGGCCGGAGTCAGGGGTAACCGGATGCCCGTCCATTTGCACACAGCTGCCCATAGACCAGCATCGGGCATCTGATCGGGTCCTCCCGTGTGAAAGGGGTCTAAGAATGTTTGCTTTTGACACATTCCCACAAAACGAATGTTCACAGATATCTGAAGGGTGAGTGTCCCTGCGAATAAACCCCTCAGACCCTCTCCCCACTTCTACTACTACTGTCCCTTGCCGGCCCCTTACCTCTTACATCACCTGAGATCCCACAAAGCCCACCTGAGAGTGAGACTCTCTATGGTGGGCTCTGCAGGGTCTCAGGCGGGCTGGTCACACCCTCTTACCTGTCAGTCCGTCCTCCACCGCCGGGCCCCGCCTCCTCCTTCATGGTCGCTGGAGGGCCCTGCCTCCTCCTCCGCTGTCAGGCCCCACCTCCTCCTTTACAGTTGCTGGTGGGCCCTGCCTCCTCCGCCGCCGCATACTCCAAGCCCAGCCTCCTCCTCCGCTGCATACACCGGGCCCCGCCTCCTCTTCCGCAGCTGCTGGCTGTTCTGTACTGGACACAGTTCTGTAGTCGCCGCATACTCCAAGCCCAGCCTCCTCCTTCGCTGCATACGCCGGGCCCCGCCTCCTCTTCCGCAGCTGCTGGCTGTCACTCAACCTGGAATTGCTGAGATGCCATAGCAACCCAGGTCGGCCCGCACGGCATCAGGGCGACCCCTCTGTTCCCCATCCTGGCCCGGGCCCCCCCTGTGCCACGGGCCCCATAGAGGGCCGCCTGGGTCGCTATGTCGACAGTTCCGCCACTGTACGTTGCGGTGACCACACCTCATGACTAGACCTGAGCTCCGGCTTTGCACATTAGCGCTCTTATTCGATGTGCAACTATGTGTCGCAAAAATGGCGACCGGCCCGTGAAATATCACAAACACGGATTTCCCGGTTTGTCACACAAGTGACAACGTCGCAATCTGCGCAATTTTCATGTGCCGTCGCTGATCGTTTTTTGGAGCCCGGCGTACGAATGATCAATGCCATTATCCTGGAAACAAAACGACGCGGCGCAGGTTGCGCTCTTCACGCTGTAACAACGTCGGTACATCTCATATCCCCCCCCCCGGTGTTATCCGATGTATCCCATCCCCCGTTACCCAGCTGGGCACCAGATGTGCAGTTAGCAGGAAAGCGGCTGATTCGGCAGTTGTGTGAGAAGCGCCTTCCTGTAGTCGCGCGTCTGGCGGGCCGCGGCTCGGAGGTGTCAGACTACGAATAGCGAACACGAGGAGAGAGAGAGAAAGAAAAGAACCCATTTCCTGGAGTCCCGCTAACCAGACCCATATGTGACGGAAGCTCGGCGCTGCTTGGCACAGACGTCTGTTTACATTCCAGCCGGGGGAACAGCACCTCTGTGAACCCGGAAACGCAGCGGGCGCAGCGCTACCATGCGCTTCTTATTTACCCGACGGGTCGTAAGATCCGCCACGGTCGCAGCCGCCTGGGGGCGACGTTTCCTTGCGGGAAGACAATTCTATTTACATCCCCCAATGTTTATTAAACATCGAAACGTGTCCAATCCCGCTGCCCGCAGACAACCCGCAGACAACCCGCAGACTCCGAGACCGCCGACCGAGAAAGGAAAACAAAGCGGCGGGTGAGAAAGTCAATACGCTCCGCCAGGCAGCCGGCTCGTCAATCAAAACTAGAAAATGGTAACTAAATGGCATCGCCCTCGGCGACCAATCATTCCTCGGTGACCAATCACATTCCTCGCTTCGCTCACTGTCCTGCATTAGGGAAATGATTGGACACGGCCATTGGATCACTATAGGCCCAGCGGGGACATCTGGACACAACCTATAGGTACCAAGGGCCACAGTCAGGCTGGGGAGCGATGTGCTAGATGATGCTGGACATCCTCCAGGCGGGCCCTTACAGTCACCACTGCTTCCTGCTATT